AACATGTGCATGTCTATTATTTAGAACTGGCTCTGGGCACCCAGCCCTGGCTATTTGGTTCTTGGAAGGCCTCATAACTGTTCCCTGAAACAAGCTCTGGTTAGAACCCCTGTGATTGGTTCCAGACTCCCAGCCTTAGATGTTTGTAACTGGAAGCATTTCAGGCATGAGATTTTACTGAATCATAGACATGAACATGTTGTAAAATGACAGCACTAACGAGGAACAACAGGAAACATTTTTGACAGAGCATTCAAGGGCCTAGCACTTGATCCCTGAACCAGACTTTGCACCTCTACCCCTGGCACTGGCTGTAGGTGCCCAGCCCTTGCCGATTTTGCCCGGGAGGGCCTCACACCTGCTCCCTTAAGCAGGATATGGATCTCAAACCCTGACACTGGCTCTAGACTGCCAGCTCTAGTTGTTTGTGAACAAACAAGGTTCTGGTTCTCAGCTCCTTGCACTGGCTACATGCGCCCGGCCTTGGCTGGTATAGGGATCAGGTTTCAGGCCTTCAAAGCCACCATCAGTGGTTGGGGACCTGAAGCCAGTGCCAGGTGTTGATGAAAAAACAAAAAAGAACTTGGCTCTGGACACACAAGCTGAAGGAGGCCATGGAAGAAGAGGTTCCACCTCAGTAGAAATTGGACCAGTGGAAGGATCTAGAAGCTGCTCTCGCTGATAGAACCTCTGCTGTGAATGATGCTGGAGCTGCTCTGTTGAAAGCCAATGAAGCCTTGGACAGTCTGAAGTCAGTAATCAACAAGTCTAAAGGTCTGAAGGTCACTACTGTTCGCCCACTAGTTTTAGCAGCAGAGGAGAATCCTCACTGTGTCAAACCACTGCAGCAACACAAAACCCACTAGAGACCTTCAGGATGAACAAAATTACTTAGCATAACAGTCAGCAGCTGAGGCTTAAGAAGAAGAGCAGTTGCAAACAGTCAGGGCTGGCAGCCTGGAGCCAGTACCAGGGGTTGGTTGAAGACCCTGGCCTGGGCTAAGGAGCCAAAGTGAAGTAAGTGCTAGGGGTTGAGGATCAGAATCTGGTTCAGGGAGCAGGTGTGAGGTGCTCCAAGCCACAAACAGCCAGGCACTGGTGCCAGGGGTTGAGATGCAGAGCACATTTCTGGAACAGGAAAGAGGTTTTTCAATGCTCAAAGAGAAAGAGAAAAAAAACGAAGAACTGGGCTCTAATTCTCAAGCCCTCGCTCTTACCCAGGGTCTTCATCCCTGGCTGCCTGGTTCTGGGCTTTAAGGTAACCTTTGCTCCCACGTATGGGACTTCTTTAGTCCTCTTCCAAGTGTACCCACACTTAAACATCCCTGCCATTCTTTCTCAGTTCAAGGTGAGTGAAATAGTTTCTTGTTGTTCATTAGTGCTGTCACTGTACAACATGTGCGTGTCTATGATTTAGCATTTGCTCCAGGTACACAGCCCTGGCTGTTTGGTTCTTGGACGGCTTAACACCTAGTCCCTTAAACTGAATCTCAACCCCTGGAACTGGCTCAAGGGCCCCTAACCTGGCTGTTTGGCTTTGGAGGGTCCCACATCTGGTCCCTGAAGTGGGCTTTGCTTTTCAACCCCTTGCACTATTTCCAGGCCCTGGCCATGGATGTTTGTGACTGGGTGGGCTTTACATAAGAACATACGCAGAAGGGCCTCAACCTTGCTCCTTTACCCAGGAACTTTTTCTCAACCCCTGACACTGGCTCCAGGCCTAAAGCTCTGCTTGTTTGGATCTTGGAAGGCCTCATACCTGTTCCCTGAAACAAGCTCTGGTTTTCAATCCCTCCAACTGGTTCCAGACCCCCAGCCTTGGATGTTTGTAACTGGAAGGGTTTCACACCTGGTCCCTATACTGACTTCCTCTTCTTAACCCCTGGCACTGGCTCCTGGCACCCAGCTCTGGCTGCGTGGGCTGTGGAGGGCTTGAGTCTTGCTCCTTGGCCTTGACTCTGTTTCTCAACCCCTGACACTTGCTTCAGGCCTAAAGCCCTGGTTGTTTGTGACTAGGAGGACATCACACGCGATCCCTTAACCATGGTTAAGAATTAACCATGGAGCATGGCTGTTTGTAAATGGGACAGCTCACTCCTGGTAGGCCAGGGTTGGCATCCTAGAAGCCATGCCAGGAGTTGAGACCCAGAAACTGGCTCAGGGAGCAGGTGTGAGGGCCTCCAAGGCCATAGCAGTCAGGGCTTGACATCTGTAGCCAGTGTCAGGGGTTGCGATGCAGAGCCCAGTTCAGGGATCAGGTGTGAAGCCCTATAATACCCAAGCATCCAGGGTTGTGGGCCTCAGTCTGTGGCAGGGGATAAGAAGAAAAGCCCAGTAAAGGAAGCAGGTGTGAGGCCTTTCCAGCCAAAAAACAACCAGCACTGGGGGCCTGGAGCAAGCACCAGGGAATAAAAACCCAGGCCTGGGCTAAGGAGCCGGTGTGAAGCCATTCCTTGGCCATGGAGCCATGGTTGGTGGCCTGGAGCCAGTGCCAGTGGTTAGGAAATAGAACCTGGTATGGCAAACAGGGGTTAGGCCCTGTTCCCTATAGGCCTACTGGGTATAAAAAGAGACACAAAAGACAGCCCCGCTTCCATGGCTTGAATGTTCTGCTACAGTTGTTGTTGAACCTAGAATGCTATCAATATGGCTATGTTAGTTATACTGTGACTACACTTTACTAGTCCTATGAACATTAGTCAAGAAAGTATCATAAAGTCACACAGGATTTGAAGCAGCAGTGGTTACATCAGATATAACAGTTAATGTATGTTATGGAGATCCCACAGCTGTTCAGAAACACAGTAGTTTCACTACAACCATCAGCCAGCACAAAAGGTCCAATTACTGCACTCACAACTCTATGTGTCACAGTCATTATGAAGCTAGTTATAATAACAGATTAAATGTACATTTCTTCAATATGAGTTGATGATTCCTCACTGTGTCAAACCACTGCAGCAACACAAAGCCCATTAGAGACCTTCATGATGAACAAAATTACTTAACATCACAGTCAGCAGTATAACCATGAAGCAGTATTAGGGCCGCAATGAGGGAGAAAAATCTGAAATGTAGAGAATAAAGTCATAATATTACGAGAATAAAGTCGTAGTATTACGAGAATAAGGTCATAATTTTGACAATATCATCATATTATTTCAAGAAAAAAAGACATATTACGAGAATAAAGTCATAATATTACGAGATTAAAGTCGTAATATTATGAGAATAAAGTTGTAAATTTAGGTTATATGTTGTTTTAGAGGGGAAATGTGGCATAACATGGAGCATCCTGTGACGTTATACTTCAGCATAGGTTTCACAAGTAATTAAAATACAAATAAAATATAAAAAATATTACGACTTTATTCTCGTAATATTATGACTTTTTTCTTGAAATATTATGTCTTTATTCTCAAAATTACAGATTTACTGTCATAATTTTGGTTTTCTTTTTTTTCTTCAATGTGGCTAATACTAACCCCGTAAGGGTGGGAATGAAGTATTTTATACAGCACGTCGGTCCCTACCTTTTAGAAGTCTTGATCCACTTGGCAAAAATATTCAGTTTGATCCGACGAGATGACATTTGGCTATGTCAAAGATGTTCTGCATCCATCTTCTGCAGGGAAGATTTTACCAATCTGGTCTGCAAAACTTACACCAATAAACAAAAGTTTTATCATGACAGTGATTAAATGAATGTCATAACGAAATAAAACACATACTGTTCCTCTTCCACAAACTACGAAATTTTTTCCACAAGAAAAGAAGACTTTGTTAACAAGAAAAAACTCTGAGCTACAGCTCTGAACATCCAACCAGGTCCACTGTGTGTGTAGCTGTTAGTCCTGTCTGTGCAGTGACACATTCTAATTTGCCTTTGATATGGAATGATACAATGATACGTCATAATGAGGTCACAGAATTCTGACAGACAGACAGACAAGACACACGCGCGCGCGCGCGCACACGCACACACACAGCAGCAGCAGAAGCAATATTAGATAATATCAGATAATAATAATATTAAATATCGTGATGTTTCCTGCCATATACAACATTTTTCATAATATCAAAAAAATATTTATATATTTTTTTTTGTTGTTGTTTTTTTTGCAGTTATGCACAGTCTGTCCTACATTGGTGCTTGGCATTGCTTATACCTGATACTGTATAACCTATATATGACATCATATATCATGATATTTGGGCTGGAATGTATTGAGATATTAAATTTTGTATATTACCCAAGCCTAACACAATTTTGGCAAATTACACCTGTGCTTTACCTTCTGTGATATGTCAAACTGTCACCATGAAAAATCATTCTTCCAGAGCTCTGATATTGTGAATGTTGTCTGTAATGGCTTACTGAAAGATTTAGGTATACCAGAACTATTATTAATGTTTCTGACTGTAACAAGTCAAGATGTCTGCTGTTTACAGTTTATTTCTCCTTTCTAGTATGATGTTTAGATATGCTGCTAAAATTTCCATAACTTCCAGGCACTGTTCCCACATTATCCTCATATATTCTGCAGCTCCACACTGAGTGGTGCAATGGGAGTACTAGGGCCACATTGAGGAAAAAAAATGTATCTGAAATTGTGGGAATAAAGCCATAATATGAGAATAAAGTCATAATTTTGTGAGATTTCCTGCTGAAATGAAACATTGTAGCAGCGTTACCTTTAGCTTTGAGGATGAGAATTTACACAAAAAAATCAAACAGTTAAGGATAGCAGTATTTGTTCATTTTAAATTGGCTGAACAGGAAGACACCACACTTCAAATACACTCAGATACAATTGCTGTTTTTATTGACTGATTTCACACTGTGTTGGAGTCAGCGTGTCAACATGAGAAGCTGTTGTTCCAGTCGAGTTCATGCGGTGAACCAGGAGTTTTCTGGTGAGACACTGGTTTAGATCCCAAGCACATACACACGCACGCACGCACACTCACACACGCACACACTCACACTCTCTCACACACACACACACACACACACACACACACACACACACACACACACACACACACACACACACACACACTGAAGCAGTTCCTACACAGCTCCATGCAGGTACAGGGCCAGGAACTTGCTGAATGCGTCAGGCTTGTATCCTGCCAGACCAGCTGGTACCTACAGGGAGACACAGCAACCATCAGAATCATGTAACCTTATACAACTGTGCTCATGACAATGTCAATAGTTAATACACACACAGTACAGTTATGGAGGAGGAGAACAGGCTCATATAAAAATCTATGACTGAAATCACAACACACTGCAGGATAGGATCTTGTATTTCAGTGTTGATGAGAGAACATGGCTGTAAAGAGCTAGACTGTCTTACCTTCACTTGTTTCTTCTTGATCAGTGGTTGCACTTTTGCAAATTCATAGAGCTCAACATCTTCATCCAGCCACACCTGCACAGAGCGGACCACATTTCAAAGAATGACAAAATGCAATGACAAAGATCATCAGCTACAGCTAGTGCACATGTGACAGCATGTACTTTAGTTTCAGTACTTAATCAAATGAGTCTGACAGAAAGACTGTTGATGACAGTTTGTTATGAGGACAAGATTCTTTGCATTCTCCTGTGTATTTATCCCTCAATAAAAGCACTAACCAGTATTAAGGTGGAGGAGGAAAGAGGATTGTAGCCACTGATCTGCTAACTATACTTAGCTCAGCTGTAGTCCAGGGAGCTGGATTCGACACTACCTGGTTTTCAAGTGACATGTGAAAAATAAACTAAGAGTCAAGTAAATGTGCAGGTCTGTCATATGGAAAATTATTGTAATAACGAGGATGTATTCAGGAGGCACAACGTTTGAGTGGTTACCATCTACCACCTGGTTGTTGTGTTGTATGTCGGCTCTGTGACAGACTGGTGACCTGTCCAGGGTGTACCCCGCTCTTGTCCAATGTTAGCTGAAATTGGCTCCAGACCCCCCACCCCCCCAACCCAACCCAACCCTTAAAGGATAAGTGATACGGCTGATGGATAGATGGATGTGTTCATGTTTATGACTGGAAGGTTCCATGTGATCAATACCTCTATAATGATTTACAGTGTTGTGAATCATCATTAAGGATGATACATGACACAGAGAATGAAATCAAATGTTGTCATTAAGTTTGCGTTGTGTATAAGTGTAGCTGCAGTTATTGAGGATCAGAGGTTTGGCTTGTTTTTGATGAAGCTTCAGCCGTGTTGTAACATCATGTGAATATGGACAGTAGAAAATCACTTTGAATAGGCTAATTAAATATTGTGAATACTGTTTAAATATTATGACGCAAAAAGTGCAGCCTGACAAAATTTAAAAGAAATAATTTATCAGCTTAGGCCTGAATTCTGCCAATCTCGATGCAGGAAAGTGGAAATAGGATATTTAATGAATATTGAATGTTTCAGGCTGTTCACTATAGATAGAGCTGCTGGTCTGTTAAGTATTTTCTGGTCTACCCTTCATCTATAAGTATTAGCTTTCTCATAGCTGCGTATCCTGACATCGTAGCCTTTAACATCAAGTCTGTTTGATTCTTGAGCACATGAAGCTGATGATGAAGATAAAGCACCTGGTTCTTGACACCGTTGTCTCCTGAGAGATCTGTAGTGTTGAGCTGGAAAACCATGAACTGGAACATTCTGCCGTTGGTCCCCACAGCCTGGACTGTTATAGGGCGATCTAATACACACTGGGGCTGGGTCTGACACACACACACACACACACACACACACACACACACAATATATAAGAAAGACAAAGAGAGAGTGAAGGATAATTGTAATCTTAGCTACAGCAGTATGTTGACAGACAGTTTGAGCCTGTTGGTTGTGTATCCTCACCCCATACAGTTTGTGAGCGCGGGCCAGAGCGTTTCCAAAGGTGAACATGAGCATGTTGGCTCTGAACTGGTCTATGCGGAGCTTACAGCGAGCATCAGCTGCCTCCAGGAAGTAAAGTGTGTGGGCATGAGGATAAGGGTAGTCATCCCTGAAACCTGATTGGACGAGAGAGGTGTCATGTAATTACACTGAACACTGGACAAAGTAAGCTCCTTGTGCTACGCTAAACTACTAACATTACAACTATTACAGCATGACTGGGACTCCTCTCACCTGAGCAGTTCACCTCCTCCTCGTACATGTGTATTTTCTGCAGGTCTATGGTGGGGGAGACGGGATAGAAGGTCTCCAGAACATGATCTGCCGTGTCGGCCACTTCCTGTTTCCCAGAAACCTCAGGGAGAGGATCCATGCAGTTGTGCAATAATCTGTTCTGACCCCTAATCTGGAACAGGTCCTCACCTGGTACCAAGAATAAGTAGAAATCAAAGTCCATTAGCATGAATCTATGCAACTATTCAAAGCATTGCTCCACAGTTTGTACAGACTGTCACATCATGGTGATACTTTCATTTCTCCATGATGACACCAGCAATGTCAATGTTTTTACTGATCTAGTGAAATTACTTTTGACTAGGCTTGAGCAATATCCAAAAATTAATCTTGAATTAATCTTAAAATCTTGATACTGTATATTAATATACAATATTATTGTATTTTGCAATTATATTGTTGTATTTTATGTTTTAGGTACAAGCAAAGCTGCTGTGTTATTTGTCACATACTCTGCAGCATGAGCATTGCATATGGCGGGAAATATCGCAAGATTTAATTTTATTGAAGACTTTTTTAAAAACACACAATGTATTGTTTACCTTCATGTTTACTAACTAACAGTCTTCTTTACAGCATCTGTTCGCACATTGTTACATTTATTTGCCCGTTATGGTCACCAAAGGTCAGTCTGTATAACACCATGAAAGCATCAGCAGTGTGTGTTAGCCTGTTAGCATTCACAATACAAACAAAACGGGGATCCACTCGTAAAAACGTCACTTCCTGACACAGATACCTCTAAGCACAGCAGATACTGTAGGTAATCTAAGAGGGTAATACCTCTTTTCCATGTAGCTGCCAATAAGTACTTCTCAGCGAGGATCCTCCTTCCTATCGCAGGGTGAACGGACTGCAGAGTCGCACACAGATGCATCAGGTTGATGAGCAGAGTGTTGCTGAGGGAGGAACACACACAGACAGTGAGAGAGGGGAGTGTGACTCACAAACTAGGAGAGTAAAAGAGCACAATTGCCACTTTTGAGCAACAAAGGTGTCAGATGGTGTGACACATTTAGACACAAGAACGTAACAACAAAGTCACTTCATTAGCAAAGGTCATCACAATGGCTCATTTACAAAAGTTAGTAAGCACATGAGGTAAATCCATGGTGACTCTAAACCAGCGGTTCTCAACCTTTTCCAACACACGGTCCAATTGAAAATCTCAAAAATGTTGGCGGCCCACATGTGACCCCAGAACAATATGGAGGCCAAATAATATGTTCTCAGAGCACTATTTATTTTAATGATAACGATCCAACATTTTCCAGTTTTTACTATGGATGTCATCTTTTAGCGTGCATCAGACTGAGATAGCAAACAAGTATATGATGTGGTCCAGCACACCTGGTCTGTATCCATCACACTGTAAAGATCGCAAGTAACCCTAAAACTATCACTGATCTGCCACCGACGTAGTAAAAACACTATTTCTGTTCACACCTGAACAATTTATTGAAATTTTATCAAAATCGCAATATGGCCAAGTGCAATATCCTAAACACAGGAACTGCAGTTCTTTGATAAAGGTAAAATGTGTCACAACAACAGACCATAAGTGAAACCTATGTGTGTGCTACAGAGACCCCCAGTCTACGAATCATATTCTCCAGACGTAAAGGAACATATAGGAACATGTTAAATGTAAGAATAATCACTCCAAATGAAATCGTGACTCATATCACAATCACAATATCTGTCAAAATAATCGCAGTATGATTTTTTTTTTTTTTGGCATATCTTTCAGTCCTTTTTCTGTTCTCGTGTTGAGTATAAACGTGACATCATGGCCACATCTATGGGGCATTTATTGGACTATGTTTTGGAAACTGCTGTTTTGGTGATTTCTACACAAAGACACAATTTGCAGCAGATTTTCAGAAAATATACAGTGCAGTTTGTTGTTGTTTTGCAGTGATTTAAAAATATGTTACATTTATTCAATGCCCACACAACACACTTGACTTTAATAGTCGTTAATTAACTGAATCATTAATTAACTCAACCAAACAATAAACATTATGTGTGTAACATGCTACCTGTATTTCTCTTTGCCTGGGCGCTCCACTGTCGTGTCCCAGAAGCGCGCATGTTTGATGGCATTCTGCACGCGCTCATCCTGATCTGGTATCTGATTGGCAGGATCCTCAGCCAATGAGACGAGCTGAGGGGGCAGACCAGAGATCAGCTTTGTTTTGGTCAACCACAGAGCCTGACGCACACCTGAGAGAGAGAGAGAGAGAGAGAGACGTGAAGGGCCATGAGGTTTTAACATTATTATTATTATTATTATTAACATTATTATCAACAGTCAAGTCACTTGGATCTTTACTAATATCAACACTTTACAAGATAAATCAGAGTAGAAAACTAATATATTATTATAATAATAATAATAATAATAATAATAATAATAAGTTGTGCAATCATGATTATCCCAAACATACAAACTAACAGACAGGTTTCTGTGTCAAAGCTGGTGCTAGATGAGGATTGAGGTTAACTAAAGTTGCAGGTACTTGCTGAGGTGAACATCCTCAGCAAGTACCTGTATCCTAGCATGAACAGTGTAGTTTCTGTCAAGGCCACTTTACAGAAGCTTGGTGATACAATAAGCATCCAAATATAAAATTGTGTGTGGGCAGTGAGCTTTAAGACTCAACGTACCAGATGTCAAGCACAATATGTACTTTTTATTAGTATTTAACCTCAAGCTGTTCAAACATACACACAAGAATGAAGTAACATTCAAAAACACAGAATAAGTGGATGTTTCAGTTTTGCTATGACTGGGAAACAGTGGGCATCAAAAAGGACAGTGATGACACAGACCTCAACCACTGCAGTGAAAATGTGATTGAAACCTGTCCACTGGAGATTTATTGTACAGTAAAAAAGGGTCAGTGTCAGTAGGATATTCTGATAAGTCCGGGACCCCTAGTCCTCCAGGCAGCACTTGAACTAATTCAAACTCAAATTCATTTATGACAGTAACTCACTGTGCTTGTGACTTCCCTGCACCTGGTCTTTAGTGTAAAAAGATTAGGAGTACTGAGCCTCTTTCGTGATTATGCCAATCATATATTATTGCAGTTTAAGTCAACAGTGAAGGCCTGTAGTGTATAATGGTTATGACAGTTTACCTTCCAACATGCTGGTCCTCTGGCTGAACACATAACACGGTTTCTCTTTGTACAGCGGCATGTCCTGAACCGGGGGAGACCTGTAGTATCTCGGGTCCTTGTAGTCCCTCTCCCAGCCCGGGTAGATGGGCTTAGACAGCCCCGGCACATAGTGCATCCTTTCCCCGTAGGTGACCATCTCCAGTCCGGGGATCTCCACTTTCTGCCTGGGTTTCGGCGCTGGAGGAACCTTGGCTGTGAGACAGCGGCTCACACCGAAATGCCTCCGGGCTCCTCCATGTGCGGACAACCGCCTCAGTTCCTTCAGATAAACGGTTTGAGAAAACAGCGAGGACGCAGCTTTTAAGCACTGAGCCGTTTCTGGGAACATGGCTCTACTTCTTATTAAGTTTAAAAGACTTGAGCTGTAACTGTGACCTAAGTCATCGCCTGTCAGATGCTACTGCAGGGAGCCGCCATTTTGAGCCACTGACGTCGTTCCTCTTCTTCTTCTTTGATTTCTATGTTACAAACCAAAGGTCCGTGTCGCCGCCTGCTGTACGGGAGTGTGTAACATCGTCACTTTACCACGATCGGAAAGTCTAAATGATCTCCTTTCCCTTTTTGTTCTTTATTAGTTATTTTTCATAACATAAACAAGTGTGACACGAAGGGTACAATATGGCAATATGATATTATAAAATATAATAAAATGTAATATAAAATAGTGGAGAATAATACGATATTAGTGTGCTTGTGCTATGACAGAATAGTATGTATTTTTTATATAATATAATACTTCTAAACATGTTATACTGATGTTAACATTGATGCAAACAGTGCACCTGGGTGTAGGAACCTGCTAATTTTCTGCCTCCCTTTTCGGAGCACACACTAAACACACTCGTCACCTGTCCAGCACAGTGCTGTTGAACCAGAAACGCCTAGGCTACACTGGCTCCGGGGTGAAAGAGTGAGCTGCAGCCCTTCAATAAGTTTTCAAAAACACACAATCACACAGATCGAAGCGTCACAGCGTTTGCACGGCAGCCAGCAGCTAACTCTCTCTCCACTGGTCTGTGTGTGTGTGTGTGTGTGTGTGCTCTGTAGGGGCCTGTGATGACATAACTCCTTGCAGTTGTGTGTGTCCTCAGTCTGAGCAGAAAGACAAACTCGACTGGCAGTGGAATCAGTCGGCTTTTATTAGCGGGGTTTCCCGTGTTTAAAATACCTGCTAATTTTTGATGGGTATAAAAAGGGTACAAATAATCCCGATCAGAGCTGGAGCCAATAAATACCCATGTCTGCTGCACAGTCATGCCACCTGGGTTTGAATACTGACTGAACCCTTTTCCATTACTGACAAAAGCCCGATGTTGGCAGGTTTTTTGACCAGTGGATAAGGGGCTTTAAATGGGTTGACTCTACATACGTGGAAGGTAACGCTCACTTTGACCATGGCGCCACCTCATGGTATGAAATTGTATCTCAGCTCAAAAGTGGTTTGTGTGGACTCCATATGCTTTCTCTCGTCTGTGTGATGGTTTTATGTTTTATTTGTCTCATTTGTTGTAGTTTGGACGGCCACAATAGAAACAGGCCTTTTACACTTTATTATGTTTTAATCCTTCATAACTATAGGGTCAGAATTATTCTGTATTTCTAATCATCAAATAAATGTAATCAATCAAATCATGTGCAATTTGTGTGTCATTTTAGAATGTAACGTTGAATGTTGTTTTTTTATTGTTAAAGCTGTGCCATAATAACAATAGCAAATATATAATTTCTTTAAATTTCAATTGTATTTTTAACAAGTCACTTTTTGAGGTCAGTGTTTCTATATCACCACTATATGTGAGATTTCTGTGATATAACACAAATCAAACAATACAATGAACATAAAAGAAATGTCTCCAGGAAGGCAATAAAATCAACTCCAATTTACAGCATGAAGAACAGACATTAAATGCTTAAATTAACAACTGTTCTCTTCTCTTCTCTTCTCTTCCATTCTCTTCTCTTCTCTTCTCTTCTCTATTCTTCTCTTCTCTTCTCTTCTCCTCTCCTCTCTTCTCCTCTCCTCTCTTCTCTTCTCTTCTCTTCTCTTCTCTACTCATCCTCTCTTGTATTTTACAGCCAGGGAGGCTAAACTGAGGAGGAGGATGGCACATTTTCCCAGCAGCATCCAGTACCAGATCTGACCCTGCAGACCTGCACAGACACATGGATGTGAATTGAGGTTTTAGTAACGTAAGTGTCTCAAAGGTAAAGCTGCAGGAACATACATATAGATGAAAAGAGGCAAAGGTACAAGCAGCAACAGAAGAAAAGACACAGTAAAAAAGTACATTTAATTAAAATGTAACTCATGTATATTTAAAAGGTCTATATGCATTATAGTACTGTAATGGAAGCCACATGGTGTGTGTGTGTGTGTGGGGGGGGGGGGGGGACTGAATCAGACATTCCTACTAGCTCCAGTGGATGAGGTCACAGCCAATCAGACTGTCTGATTCAGAGACTTGGTCTGCTTTGGCTTTATACCCAGACTTAATGGGAGCAGTGCTGTTTTACTCTGAAGTTGTTTAGAGTTTGTTAAAAATTACAGACTAAAGACAGACGGGTGTGACAGTCACATATTTAGTGCAGTGGAGGATTTGGAGCTGATTTTTCAAGGACCAGACAAAAAACACCCATAAATACTGCTCCAGAGAATGAGCTTATCTCCTGAACAGATGAAGATAGAAACTTCAAATCACCTGTAGAAGAATTCAAATAAATAAATGCAATTTTCTGTGTTGAATTATTTTCTTCTTTATTATGGTTTAAAGTGTTTTTATCATTAAAATCAGGAAAAATTCAAGGTTCCATTTTTTGTTTTTGTTTTTTTCTTTTTTGTTTTATGGGCTTTTAACCTCTACTATACTGTACTGGAGTCTTTATTGAGTGACATTTATTATCAGCTGAGGTTATGCTGATTCTAAATATGTGTAGCACTTGGTGAAACTGTTAAAAATTACAATTTTATTAGGAAAAATAGAAAAGGTATTAAAGAATGAAAACATTGAAATATAAATGACAAGTTTAAGGACTTCTCTACTGAAGACAGCAGATAAATGAAATCATCAATATTTTTCATTGCTTGACATATTGAATATATTATTAGACTGACTGCAGATGTAAGTGTTATCAGAGTTGACAGTTCAGAGGGTCAGTACCCCACGTCTGTGAGCTCTCACCTTCACGGCTCGGCTGCTGGCTGCTGTCACACCAGGAGGTGCTGGTTGTGGTCGGGGTAGATGTTGCTGTTGTCAGATTATCTGGAGGGGAGACAGTTCATCATTAATCACTGAAGCTGCACAGTGCTCTTTTTTATTTCATAATATAATTTTTCTCAGTGCCTGCTTTAAAATTATTTTATTGAGTTAAGGGAGCATGTGATTGGCTAAAAGGTGAGAGGGTGGTGCAAACACTGGCATTATGAAATAAAGTTATTATAATACCAATAAATTCACAAATTGTTGGTTGATTCACGTATTTTACACATTTTCATTCATATGATTATTGAAGTAAGACATATTTTATCTATTTGATATGGAACACTTCAACCATGATAACTCACCAGGCTTCCTATGTGTAGTAGAAGATTCTAAATGATTGGTTGAAATGACAATACATCAGTAAATAATGAAGTTATGATGAACTCCTTACAGTCCCACTGACGCAGGAATGAGCATTAATAGAGGACTGTGCTGTGAGGTTTTACCTGATATCTGAATCAAGATGTCAGGGCTGATTGTATCGGGGGGCTGTGTCATGCAGGAGTAATATCCAGTGTGTGCAGAGCTGATATTCACAACCAGGCTCACACTGGGGATGACGGCGGTAAAATTGACAAGGGACACTCTGTCCTAGAAGACAATAACAGTTCTTACTGTTATGATCCACTTCAGCACCCTCTCAACAGTAACGTCACACCTGGCTGAAAACAGTTTTTCTCTGCCCTCTATGGCTGAAAGAGTCAAGTGAGAAGAGCGTATGGTTTCACCAATAACGGTCAGTAAAAACAAGATTTTCAGCCACTGTCATGCAAAGTTGAACATTGTCATTTTCACAAATTCAATTGTATTGAATTCAGATCGATTCATATTGTGGTGATCAGGGACTGGATGTGTCAAAGAAGTCTCACTCAACTCATTTTTAATTGAACAGACATGGCTCCACATTAAAAGCTCCATATTCTCCTCTTCTTCTGTGTTTTATTTGAAGTGTTGATGCATCAGAAGATATTTTTGTGGTTTTAAGAACCAAAAACCATCTCAGTGTAGTTTTACATCTCCTCTCTCAGGCTTCTCTCTGGAGCTCTAGTAACAATGGTTCAGTCAGCCAATCAGAAGATATGAGGCTCTGAGCCTCTCTTCTGATTGGCTGACTGTTTTCTGAGTGATCCAATAAAAATATAGCAGACTTCAGGTAAACACTCAGAGAAACCAAATCCTGCAAGGTTGGATAGTGGGTCAAGGTGGGCGGGGCTTTGGGCGTGGCTGAGGGTGGTGACTGCTTTGTTGTGACATCACAGAGTTCCAGAAGTCCTGACGGCTGGTTTTAAGGCTCAGTTTCTGAATACAGGCTGTGTGCATTTCTCTGTGGACTGAGGCTTTGATACTTTCACAGTATTAATATAGAACCTAGACCTGCTTTATAATCAAACAAAACATGGACATCTGCCTTTAGACTATATGGAGCTTTAAATGAACTGACTTTACTTTGAATTGCTGATTTCTTCACACTTGGTCCTTACTAGTTTTTTTTTTTTTTTTACATCTTAATGTAACTGTAACACCTTCTTGAAGTGTTTGATGCACAAGGTTGTGCAAACCATGCAGCTAACCAGAATCACCATTGTTGTCTTCAGCAACAAGAGAACTGATTTATTTACATTTACATACAGCTTCATTCATGTCAAAATAAAATAAAAATGTTGGAAACCCTTAAAGGTGTTCTTTGAACTACCTCATATTCTCTGTTCCTCCATAGCTGGGCCACATGTTGGGCTCCCAAACACATGAACTCACATCTCAGCCTGAAGCTCTCTACAGCTGAAAGCACCATCTTATCAGCAGATATAGTCACAATAGGTCCAATGCAGCCACCTGTAGAAGAGGCAGTGACAGGAGGAAAACATAAAAAGACAAAACTGCTCAGTTAAAAAAAAAAGTAATCCACACAACAATTCTCTTGAGTTTCTCAAGCGCTGTTGAATTTCTATTGTCAGCTCAGTTGCCCAAAATTGATTGGAACAGATTTTCAGGCTTTGTGGGATTGAGTGTCGTCAGTTTTCGTGTTGACAGATGAATGAAACATTAGTGCACAACTGGAGGTTTGTAGGATCATCCATTATGTAGAATGACACTACAGAACACCGGTTGTCTGGGTATTTAAGTATCTGCAACAACACGGTGAATGATAGTTTGATTCATTTCGGT